CCTACTAATGAATTCAAATTGACCCAAATAAGGATTGGCACACTTGAAAGCTGTCTGAAACATAACAATCAACAAGTCAAGGCAGAACATCCAATCAGAAGAGAAAAGCTGAGGTCTGCAGACCTTGTCTCATGTAAACTCGTAATTAATGTTCTGTACAAGGAAGGAAACTATTAACAAAATCCAATTATGACATCTAATTAAGAGAGGCTGCCAACACCTGGCAGGGGGAAAGATTAGCTGTCTGAATAGAATATTATTTGGTAATACTGAGCTTTGTAAAATGTAAGCTAATACATGTGGGAGATATTAAGCGCATGTCCCTAATTAGAGCATGGAACTTGAACTACTGTAAAACAATAAAATAAAATCTGAGAATGTGGCAGGCAAAGAGAATACCCCCAGCCTCTACCCTGGTCCCAGCTCTCATCCCTTCATGCCTGGATTAAAGCACCTGCTTCCTTCCCCCTAGGTCTCTGATCCAGGCCAATCTGAGACATGTCTGTGCTTTTTTTCTTTTTTAATTTAACTTTTATTGGAGTCTAGTTGATTACAATGCTGTGTTAGTTTCAGGTGTACAGCAAAGTGAATCCGTTGTACATATACATATATCCACTCTTTTTTGAGATTCTTTTCCCATATAGGCCATTATAGAGTATTGAGTAGAGTTCCCTGTGCTATATAGTAGGTTCTTATTAGTTATCTATTTTTTATATAGTAGTGTGTATATGTCAGTCCCAATCTCCCAATTTATCCCCCCCTCCGCCACCAGGCTGTCTTGAAATCTCTTCTATTCCACGTCCACCCTCACTCTACCGTTGATCTCAACCAGTCTGATGGTTTTAAATACTAACTAAAGGTGACTGCCTCCAATTTATATCTCTGACTCAGAGCACTTCTCTGAGCTGTCTGCATATATTTGGATGTGTGTCTCCACTTGGATGCCCAATAAGCCTCTCAAACTTAGCATGTCCAAAACTGACATTCTGACCTTCCCCCACAGTCCTGTTCCATTGGTGATCTTCCTCTCCCCAGTGGATGTGAACCATACTTTTCAAGTTGCCCCTCCTTCAAGATTTATCTGAAGTCCCATCTCCTCTCTCAGTGTTTGTCAATATTCTAACACATTGTTCTGTTTCTTTGACTCAGTGGTCATGGAGATAATGTTGAATCTTACTTCAGATATTCATTTTTGCCTCTCCAATTACACTGTAAGCTCCTAAAAGCCTGTACCACCTTAATGATTTCTGAGAATCTTTCACAGTGCCTCACGTGTTGACAGACACACAGTACTTATTCAACATACAATTGTTGATTCAGTAATATGGGGGGGGCCCTCTAAATCCTTTTTGAGATTGTGTATGGCAACAATTTCCAGACTTTTTAAGAATGAGGAACTCTTTTTAAGTAAAAAAAAAAAAAAAGATAACCGATAAGGAGTGATTTCTAAGAATACTGCTTAATGAAAAAATGCAAGTTGGAAAATAATACATAGAATGGGGTCCTATTTGTCCAAAAAAATAAAGATGGACATATTAAAATGTTTAAAAAGTTTCTGGAAGGATACACAGTCCTGTGAATGGTAGTCACCTTTACAAGAGGGACAGGAAGGACTTATACTTTGTACTCTTCACTCTGCTGAACTATCTGCATAATTTTGACCTTGCACCGCATCTCAAATTATCAATTGTTTAAAAAATTCACGGACTGCCTCTCCCACCACATGACAACAGTCATACTTTGGATCTACTGTTTCTGGTAAGAAGTTACTATTTGGGTTGGCCACAAAGTTCGTTCAGGTTTTTCTGTAAGATGTCATGGAAAAACCTGAATGAACTTTTTGGCCAACCCGATATTAACCCAGTAATGGTTTTAAATGAATTTGCATTTCACAATCACCATGCCACCTTTAAGTAATTGAAAAATTAAGGTAAACCTATTATTCAATCTAAGGAGAATGCTGGGTAGATCTATAGTCTCTGAGGGGTCTCTTGAGGGGAACCATAGATCTACAGAATTTTAAGGAGTTTGTCAGTAAGTCATTGTGTTCCATTTCCAGGAGAACTTATAGAACCTTTCATGTACTTAGTACTCAGAAATGTGTGGATGTTCAATCTTGGAAAAGGCAGTGGCAGAAGTGAGAACAGTGGTTAAGGGCCCTTCACAACCTTTCAACAATCAGCCCTTCAGAATGGAATCTTGTCCCCACCGCCAGCACCGTGAGTCACCACAGCCCTCCAGGAGGGACCTGTGCCACGACCATGCGACCACTAAGGTCAGAGGGAAACTCACATAAATAGAATCTTTTTTTGCTTTCCCAGGGAAAGAGGGCAATTAGAAAAGGTAAACACCACATCTCTGGCATAATCTATAGCACCAGATGTTTTATTTCATAACCAACCATGAAGCAAACTACATTAACTATAAGCTACCCAGACTCTATAAAGCTAAGAGCCTGGTTTATGGGAAGAGCTCTAGAGCTCTGGTGACAGATACGCTTGGATTCAAAGCTTGCTACTTTCTTAGACAAATCAATCTTCCTACATTCCAGTTTCTTGCGTGTGTGGCATGCAGCTCTTTCTTACCTTCAGAGAATGTGGTGATGATTAAATGAAATAACATACAAAGTTTTGGCTGCTCTACAAATGGTCACTATTAGAGTTTAAAAAATTAAGAAGCCATTATGCCCACCCCCCACCACCCCAAATTGCCAAACGTTCAAAATTCATCAAAGGTCGTTAGTAACTTCCGTGAGTTAGTACGGACCTGTTTACAAACAACTTTCTCAGTTACTGAGATCATGAACTATTAGGAGCCTACTCTTCCCTCCCTCTTAGAAACCGGTCATTTTCTGAGGCTTTTTCTTTTTCATAATCAAGTTTTGGGAGGAAGAAAATCCTGGTAAATTCATATACCTGGATTAGCAACCAGTTACTACTCTACTGATGGCTTCTGGTGGAAGATACCCTCGTGGCGGTTGCAGTGAACTTGCATATGAAACAGTGCTGTGGTGCATGTAATTTAGGTGTTCTGAACACCACCGTTCAGTAGTCAAACAGCATCCTTTGAGGAGATGCTGACCATCGATTACTCAGGGGTGAAGTGCAAGGACAGGTGCCACTGAGGTCCCTGGACACCTAAGAACCCAGTCTTCCCAAGAACTCAGTCCTCCCATTAGCCACACTGGAACCTGCTCTGAAGGACTCTGTTTGCTGACTTTACCAGGAAAAGTGCTCAGCATCAATCTTACTCCCCTTCAAGTGCTTTGACAAAGTCATGAAATCATTAATTTTCAGAGCTGGATGCACTCTGGGCCCTAATTCGGTCAGTGGTTATTGGACTGTTGGGTTCCAAGAAACCCTTGGGTTCAGAGGCAACACTTCAGGATTGAGAGGGAACCTAGAGGACAAAGCTCCAGCCCACTTCCACCCACTACTTGTACAGCTCCATTTCTTTGCTTTATACATTCAAGCACCATGCAGAATTTCATTTGAAAATAGGGTTCTTCTGATAAGGAGAGTTAAAATCATGGGCACAGTTATAGCTGAAGAAGCTGCACCCAAAGAGATCATATGACTTTACTAATGTGACAAGAGGTCTGATTTCTGGTCTGGTGCAATAGGCATGTCTCAAGCTTCCCTTGTTATGTGTATTTCTTGTAGTCAAAGATGTCCCAGTCAACTAGAAGAGTAGACACACGGGCATATGTGTATTAATCACCCCCATGTGTACACACACAGGGGTAGTAAAATTAAGCAAGTGATTTTTTTTTTCTGATTCTGATTCTTACGTGAACCACATAACCAATTTTCTGATGGGTAGAAGCATAATTTACACATTAGTGTTCAGTTCTTCCTTGAGCCAATTTTGAGCAAAGGGCTTTTCCCCCTTACACGTGCTGTGTAAGTTTGCACAGCAATAAAGATGGGCCCATGTCTTTCAAGCTGAGCTACTATTTGCTTAAAACTCAAGATAATCTAGCTTTCTAAGAACGAACCTCTTATATCTTGTTTAAAACTTTGTCTGATCTACGCAAGAGGGAGGAGATATGGGGATATATGTATATGTATAGCTGATTTACTTTGTTATAAAGCAGAAACTAACACACCACTGTAAAGCAATTATACTCCAATAAAGATGTTAAAAAAAAACAAATTTAGCCTGATCTAATAAATTCAAACAGCCTCTTTGAATAAGGCTAAGTCTCTGCCAAAGGAAAAGCTCAGTCTCTGAGATTTCTCAGTCCTCTGGATCCAACCAAGACCCTTCTGTAAAAATGTCATCAAGCTAGGTAAGGAGAGAAAAAGCAGCTTATAGGACCTCATGGTGAAGGGGAGGAGCCGAGGTCCCAAGGCACAATGCTCTGGTTTCCATGGTGATGCCTGTTGAACACACAGTTGCTGCTACTTGGCTGACATTCATGGTTGAAGCCATCCTCTAACTCTTGCTGGATGCAGACCACTAATTCTCTGCCATATCCTCCTTCCAGCTTGCTGACTCAGTGATCCACCCCCATCCTCTGTTCCAGCATCACCTCATACGCAGCTGGCCCCATAGAAGGTCCACTGGTCCTTGACTCAGCCTCCAAACCCTTGGGTGCTCAGAGGGTCCCAGGAAAGCTAAGCCCCAGCAACTCTGTCCGCTCAAAGTTGTCCTTCCTTAGCTAGTTCTCCTCTCCCTCCAGATCCCCTTCCAGCAGAGCTAGGTCACACATCTACTTTACTCTGCCATCTCTGCTTCTCTCTTTTCCTTCCTACAATCCTCTGAGGCCTACACAAGGCAGCCTTTCTCCTACATCATATCCTCCTCAGCTACTTTTGCCTTCATGGAAAACTATCTCTTCTATACTCTACAGAGAGTACTCTATGATATGAGTCAACCTCAGCCAATTTAGACAAATATATAACCAGAAGAGCAAAACAGAAAAGCACTTTAATGACTTTTAAAATAAATTCCCATTGCAAGTATTTCTTACACTCCTTTCCCCTTCTGCATTCCAGATGAAGATCTTTGACAAAAATAATGATGGCCAGTTGGATCTTAATGACTTGGCAAGGTGAGTAGTGTGAAAATGGTGTCATAGATTCAGAAACATGTTCCTAGGGGTTTGCTGACACCATACACTTCTTTTTGAAAGGCAGAGATCAAGTCTCACCTGAAGTCTTAAAGAATAGGTGAATCTTTAGGGGTAACAGATATATTTGTGAAGATCATAAAAGCACTTCTCCCCAGAAAAGCACAATGCACAACATTTTCAAAATATTTTATAAATGGGCCAGCCCTGCCCTCAAAGGCCAGACATTCACGGTCCTACATAAGTGTCCCACAACAAAAAAAACTCCTGAATCCCATTCAATGGTTCTGAGAATACTGTATCGTTAGTTCAGGACAGATAACAACAGAATCAGACTCACAGCTGCACCCTGTGGTCTCTGAGTGTTGGTGTATCCTCCGTGGGGCGCCAAGTGTCTGCAGGTTAGAAGTGGAAGAGGGGAGGATGACAGCAGAAGAGGTCCAGCATCTGCAAAAGTGCTCTGTGAGGCTGGTATTGTGGTGACACATGATGATGTCAGCACGTTTCTGTCAAGTCTAGCCGAACACAAAACAACCTCTGATTGTCCACGAAAAGGTAAAAAGAGATTCTGAGCAGATAGAGAGTTGAAATCATTGGATCAAGAATACATGGATAAGGGAGGAACACTCCCAAACTCATTCTATGAGACCACCATCACCCTGATACCAAAACCAGACAAAGATGTCACAAAGAAAGAAAACTACAGACCAATATCACTGATAAACATAGATGCAAAGATACTCAACAAAATACTAGCAAACAGAATCCAACAGCACATTAAAAGGATCATACACCATGATCAAGTGGGGTTTATTCCAGGAATGCAAGGATCCTTCAATATATGCAAATCAATCAATGTGATAAACCATGTTAACAAATTGAAGGAGAGAAACCATATGATCATCTCAATAGATGCAGAGAAAGCTTTCAACAAAATTCAACACCCATTTATGATAAAAACCCTCCAGAGAGTAGGCATACAGGGAACTTTCCTTAACATAATAAAGGCCATATATGACAAACCCACAGCCAACATCGTCCTCAATGGTGAAAAAATGAAACCATTTCCACTAAGATCAGGAACAAGACAAGGTTGCCCACTCTCACCACTGTTATTCAACATAGTTTTGGAAGTTTTAGCCACAGCAATCACAGAAGAAAAAGAAACAAAAGGAATCCAAATTGGAAAATAAGAAGTAAAGCTGTCACTGTTTGCAGATGACAGGATACTATACATAGAGAATCCTAAAGATGCCACCAGAAAACTACTAGACCTAATCAATGAATTTGGTAAAGTTGCAGGATACAAAATTAATGCGCAGAAATCTCTTGCATTCCTATATACTAATGATGAAAAACCTGAAAGAGAAATTAAGGAAACATTCCCATTTACCACTGCAACAAAAAGAGTAAAATACCTAGGAATAAACCTACCTAGGGAGACAAAAGACCTGTATGCAGAAAACTATAAGACACTAATGAAAGAAATTAAAGATGATACAAACAGATGGAGAAATATACCATGTTCTTGGATTGGAAGAATCAATATTGTGAAAATGACTATATTACCCAAAGCAATCTACAGATTCAATGCAATCCCTATCAAATTACCAATGGCATTTTTTACAGAATAAAACAAAAAATCTTAAAATTTGTATGGAGACACAAAAGACCCTGCATAGCCAAAGTGGTCTTGAGGGAAAAAAACGGAGCTGGAGGAATCAGACTCCCTGACTTCAGACTATACTACAAAGCTACAGTAATCAAGACAATATAGTACTGGCACAAAAACAGAAATATAGATCAATGGATCAGGATAGAAAGCCCAGAGATAAACCCATGCACCGATGGTCAACTAATGTATGACAAAGGAGGCAAGGATACAAGGGAGAGAAGACAGTCTCTTCAATAAGTGGTGCTGGGAAAACTGGACAGCTACATGTAAAAGAATGAAATTAGAACACTTCCTAACACCATACACAAAAATAAACTCAAAATGGATTAAAGACCTAAATGTAAGTCCAGACACCATTAAACTCTTAGAGGAAAACATAGGCAGAACACTCTATGACATAAATCACAGCAAGATCCTTTTTGACCCACCTCCTAGAGAAATGGAAATAAAATCAAAAATAAACAAATGGGACCTAATGAAACTTAAAAGCTTTTGCACAGCAAAGGAAACCATAAACAAGACGAAAAGACAACCCTCAGAATGGGAGAAATATTTGCAAATGAAGCAATGACAAAGGATTAATCTCCAAAATATACAAGCAACTCATGCAGCTCGATACCAAAAAAACAAACAACCCAATCCAAAAATGGGTAGAAGACCTGAATAGACATTTCTCCAAAGAAGATATAGATTGCCAACAAACACATGAAAGAATGCTCAACATCATTAATCATTAGAGAAATGCAAATCAAAACTACAATGAGGTATCACCTCACACCAGTCAGAATGGCCATCATCAAAACATCTACAAACAATAAATGCTGGAGAGGGTGTGGAGAGAAGGGAACTCTCTTGCACTGTTGGTGGGAATGTAAATTGATACAGCCACTACGGAGAACAGTATGGAGTCCTTAAAAAACTAAAAATAGAACTACCATATGACCCAGCAATCCCGCTACGGGGCATATACCCTGAGAAAACCATAATTCAAAAAGAGTCATGTACCAAACTGTTCACTGCAGCTCTATTTAGAATAGCCAGGACATGGAAGCAACCTACGTGTCCATCGACAGATGAATGGATAAAGAAGATGTGGCACATATATACAATGGAATATTACTCAGCCATAAAAAGGAACGAAACTGAGTTATTTGTAGTGAGGTGGATGGACCTAGAGAGCGTCATACAGAGTGAAGTAAGTCAGAAAGAGAAAAGTAAATACCATATGCTATCACATATATATGGAATCTAAAAAAAAAAAAAAAGTTCTGAAGAACCTAGGGGCAGGACAGGAATAAAAACGCAGACGTAGAGAATGGACCTGAGGACACGGGAAGGGGGAAGGGTAAGCTGGGATGAAGTGAGAGAGTGGCATGGACTTACATATACTACCAAATGTGTGAGAAGCAGTCACATAGCACAGGGAGATCAGCTCGGTGCTTTGTGACCACCTAGAGGGGTGTGATAGGGAGGGTGGGAGGGAGGGAGACGCAAGAGGGAAGAGATATGGGGACATATGTATATGTATAACTGATTCACTTTGTTATAAAGCAGAAACTGACACACCATTGTAAAGCAATTATACTCCAATAAAGATGTTAAAAAAAAAAGAATACATGGATAGAACCCTTAGAGGGAGCAACTATAATACCAGGTTCCTCAGGGTCAGGCTGGATGGCAATTGTACACTGGACAGTGAAGCAGAGCACGAGTCATGGCCATTCTATCCCTGTGATAAACAAAAAGCTCCCCTGCAGATTTACAAACACCCTCTACTATAGTCCTGCCTAGCTGGTAGGGACTATGCCTTAATCTCCTGAATAGCTTCTCACGCAGTGGAGTGTTATGTACATGGGAGGATTCAGTGAATAGTTCTGGACTGAAGAAAGGGTTAAGTGGCATTGAGCAGAGATGCAAAGCAATAAGACAGTTACTACATTATTTTAAAACCAATTTGCTATGGAATTTGAAAATGACAATTGGGGTAAGTAGAACAAAGATGTTCATGTCCTAATTCCCAGGACCAGTGACTATTTTATGTTATATGGCCAAGGTAACTGAGGTTGCAGATAGAATTAAGGTTGCTAATTAAAAACCTTAAAATAAAGAGATCATTCTGGAGTACCTGGGTAGGTGCAGTGTGATGACAAGGGTCCCTTAAACATGGAAGGAGGAGGCAGAAGATCAGAATCACAGAGAAATTTGAAGATGTTATATTGCTGGCTTTGAAGCAAAGGAAGGGGCCACAAGCCAAAGAATGCAGGCAGCTTCTAGAAGCTGAAAAGGGCAGGAAAACAGATTCCCCCCTAGAGCCTCCATAAGGAATACAGCCCTGTCAACACCCTGAAACACCAGTGAAATCCATTTCAGACTTCTGAGTTCCAGTACTATAAGATATTAATTTGTGTTGTTTTAAGCCACTAAGTTTGTGGCAATTTGTTATAGCAGCAATAAGAAACTAATTCAATGACAAAAAGGTCTTAAAACATTTACACATGGGAATCTTCTTTCTCTGCCCCCAGTAGTGAAATGTAGCCCGATTACTCCTAGACAATCACCTCTAGAGTATATGTCCTCTGACTGGCAACATACTTTAGACGGCTTGGTACCAGCAAAGAGATGAGGACAGTATTCCTTGCAGGGTCTCAGGGTATTCTACCCTCTATTTGGCTCAACTTAATTCTCTCTACCCTGGGCATCCAAAGGAGTAAAACTTTCCAAATTGTTGTATGATATTTTTTTCTGCCTTTCTCTCTATATACCCATGATTATAAAGTCGACACAAATCCAATGCTTCAGTCTTTTGAAACTGATTCTATTCCACTGAAGTATAATTGTAGTTATGCAGGAAAGAGAAATACATCATTTTTTATTGAGTATAATTTATATACTATGTAATTTACCCTTTTAAAAAGTATAGCTATGGCTATTCTGAAGCCCTTGCATTTCCACATTAATTGCAGATCATCAATTATCAGATTACCAATTTCTGCAAAAACAGGCAACTGGGATTTTTATAGGAATTGTGTTGGATCTGTAGGTAAATTTGAGGAGCACTGCCATCTTAAAAATATTAAGTCTTCTAACTCATGATCACTGGATGTCCTTAATACTATTATTTAATTCTTCTTTGTTTTTCTTCAACATCGTTTTATAGTTTTCAGTCTATAAGTCTTAGGTCTCTTTTGCCATATTTATTCCTAAGTATTTTATTCTTTTTGATACTGCTGTAAATGGAATGGTATTCTTTTTTTTTTTTTTTTTTTCAGTACGCGGGTCCCTCACTGTTGTGGCCTCTCCCGTTGCGGAGCACAGGCTCCGGATGCGCAGGCTCAGCGGCCATGGCTCACGGTCCCAGCCGCTCTGTGGCATGTGGGATCTTCCCAGACCGGGGCACGGACCCGCGTCCCCTGAATCGGCAGGCGGACTCTCAACCACTGCGCCACCAGGGAAGCCCTGGAATGGTTTTCCTAATTTCTTTTTTGGATTGGCCATTACTAGTATATCGAAATGCAACTGAATTTTGCATATTGATCGTGTACCTGCAACCTTGCTGGAATTTTTATATGTCTGTCTATGGTGACTACTAATCCTTGTGAAAGTCCTTCCCGTCTTTATTTGTTTTTATAGTGTACAAATTCCTATTTTTTAAGCACCTACCCTATTCTGCAGAATAACCTGGAAGTTGCCTGCCCTTTTCCTCACACCAGAGTTATAAATCTACTTGTAAATGAGAGGTGATAGATCATCATGTGGATAATGTTTTTTGAATTTTTTTCCCCCCATTTAGGATTCTGGCTCTTCAGGAAAACTTCCTTCTCCAATTTAAAATGGATGTAAGTGGTGGCATTTCTCTAGGTGGATTTGTATCATTCATGTTGCTCTACAGATTTGAGAGGGAGGGAAGAAAGGGATCTAATTGTATTGCCTTTACTTTATCTAGAGACTGATAAGGCTCAGTGTCAGAATTAAGGGATGAGGAACTGTTGACTCAAAGTTTATAAAAGTTGTCTAAGACCGTGGAAGAATTGTACAAGTTTCACACTGCTGATTGACATGATGCTTTCTCCATATACAGGCTTGTTCCACTGAAGAAAGAAAGAGGGACTTTGAGAAAATCTTTGCTCACTATGATGTCGTAAGTGTGCCTTTTCAATATATTGTGCTGGTCATCTTTAGGTAGGAAGCTTTTTTAGCCCTTATGTGGGGTCATCCTACTTACAGACCCTAAACTTATATAACGAACAGCAATCGCACATGTGTGTTGCTGTGTCAAGGTACCCAGCTTCTCTATGAAACTTCTGAGAACTAAGTAAAAACAGACATAGGAGTAGTACTTATGGTGGAGAAGAGAATAAAATAACATTATTATTATTATTATTTTTGCGGTACGCGGGCCTCTCCCTGTCGTGGCCTCTTCCGTTGCGGAGCACAGGCTCCGGACGCGCAGGTTCAGCGGCCATGGCTCACGGGCCCAGCCACTCCGCGGCATGTGGGATCTTCCAGGACCGGGGCACGAACCCGTGTCTCCTGCATCGGCAGGCAGACTCTCAACCACTGCACCACCAGGGAAGCCCTATTATTTTTTTGCTCCTTGTAATCAAGCTAAAAGAAAGTTTCTCCTTCTTGGTCTCTATCTATCATAGTATGCTCAAACACAAAAGCAAACAGTCAAATAAAAAAAACCACAAACAACCTAAAGAAATAGGGGGAAAGTCAGACATCTTTGGCACAAAATCTATTTCTCTTATAAGACTATTATTTGGTCCTTCTTTAGAGGGGAGAAAATAATAATTCTAAAGAAGGAAGTATGGCAAAGAGGTTGAATTTCTTCAGGACAAGGTGGGATAATGCACGGAGCAAAGAAAACAAAAAGAAAGTTGAGAAAGGTCATAAGAGATCCTGAAACTAATCAGACTGGATATCTGTGTGTCATATGCTGAGCAGAAAAGAAAATCACCTGGAAGAGGCAGTCTAGCAAACTGTTTAAGTATATAGGACTCTGTGACCAATTACCTGGGTTTGAATCACGGCTCATGAGCTGTGTGACCTTGGGCAAATTTCTTAACCTCCCTGTGCCTCATTTTCCTTATCTATAAAATTAGGGTGATGGGGATAATGATAATACCTACCTCATGGGCTTGTTATATGAGAATTAAATGAATTCATGTTCGTAAGCTTTTTGAGGAGTTCCTGGCATATGGCAAGTACTGTATCAGTGTCTGGTAAATACACGAAGGGAATGAGTTTTTATAATATGTTAAAGGTTCAGGATTAGAAAAACTTGAGGAGAATGGATGACTTATCATTAACTGGAACTTTAGAGAAGAAACTGAAATATGTTAATATGTATTGTATTTTATAGGCATTCTTATAAAATGGGTAGAAAAAATAAAAGATTTTATGCATGAACCACATAGTAATTCTAATATGCTCACTCAATCTAGTCTCTCTTGAATTTAAAATGTGTTTTGATACTCATTAAATCATTGCTAAATCATAAAGCAAAATTTAAAAATGTCAATCTAGCCTTCAAAGGATCAGTGGATGTTCAATTAGCACTAGTCTGAACTGAGTCCTAGTATTTGGGAAGCAAATAAAGTCGGTACGTGTCATAGTAATGCTATTTGTAAGAGCCAAGGAACTCAAAACTACTGCTTCCCATTTGGTTAAATGGAGGGAGTTATTTACAGGGCGTGCTTCTGATTTATGTGGCACGTTCACATCCTGCACAGAGACCATAAGTTGGAACATGCCATTTCCAAACTTGTTTGCAGTCACAAAAGATTTGGTCTATTTGTATAATTTATTCTTTAAGCTTTCTGACTTAAGAAAACGATATTTGGTTGATTGGATCTTTTATTTTTCAGAGTAAAACTGGAGCCCTAGAAGGCCCGGAAGTGGATGGGTTTGTCAAAGACATGATGGAGCTTGTCCAGGTAACTTCACGAGGCTGTGTAGATCAGCTCCATCATGGACTGGGGTTGCCGTTTTGACTCCACTGTTTATTTTGGGGAATCAGTAGGGCCAAACATCAATGCTGGAGAAAATCTAGGGATGTAGTCTGTTTAACAAACTTTGAGCTTTCAAACTTTGAAGCCCCAAAAATCTCTCTTCTCTCTTAAGATCATTTGTAGTTTCAATTAAGTGAAGCCCCCATAGAAGCTTCTTGTTACCATCATTTGAATGTCATCTATTTTACCAAAGGAGCACAGTGCCACTATATATCTTACTGCTTTATTTTTTCATTACAGAAAGTCCTTCTCCTGTGGACTTGGTTATTAGAATAACTAAAACTTTTAATTTCATGTAATAAATCCCATACTTGGGATTCTCTCTCTCTCTCTCTTTTTTTTTTTTTTTTAACACCAAGGGGCTGCTCTAACACCTAGCCTAAGATGGCTGTTTTGCCTAGCAAGGCAGTGATTGGGACTGATGATATTTAGATCATATCTACATCACAGAGCTGTTTCACGTAGGGTAAACAATGTTTAAAAAAGCAATCTCCTTTGAGATCCTGATGAATTGTACTGACTGGCTGCACGATCCAGTTAAACAGATACCTTCCAACTCCTGTGTGGGTGTTTTTCTATGAGACTGTATAGACACTGAATTTCATAGTCTCATATCCTTAGGGATTTCTTTTGAGGTTTGTATAGGACATAATCGTCATTTCCTGATTGGCCCAGATGGCAATAAATTTGAGTAGCAACAATTAGTAACGGTTTTTGGAGTCTCAGACCTTTTTGAAAAATCTGATTAAAACTATGGAGTTTTGGGGAGGGAGGGAGACGCAAGAGGGAAGAGATATGGGAACATACGTATATGTATAACTGATTCACTTTGTTATAAAGCAGAAACTAACACACCATTGTAAAGCAATTATGCCCCAATAAAGATGTTTAAAAAAAAAACAAACTATGGAGTTTTGCCGTGGAAAAATGCCCAGATACCGATTTTTGCGTAAATCTCCAGGAAGTTTACATACTGCAGTTAAGCAGGCATGGATGAGATGTCTCTTATCAGGATGCCTAACTCCCATTAGTCCCATCCCAACTGGCCCCTTGCCACTGCTTTGTCCCCTTCACGTGGTGCTCCTGTTGGAGACTTCACCAACATTGGCACAGTCAGAATAGTTGCTGGGTGTTGGGGTGATATTGCCTTTCACACTGCTTGCTAAATTAAAATCCCATTTCACTCATTACCTATTTAATGCCAGAATGACTTCTATAATAGAAAGTGAGCAATTATCTATGGGACATTAAAGGTGCACAGCAGAAGGCCTTGCCTAACTGAAGTTTTAATTTGCTTTTGATAGAATAAATGGGATGGGGAACCTGTTTTCCAGAGCTGTGTGGCCTCCTCTTTGCTGTGGAGCCAGGGCCCCTGATTGCCTGAGTGTAGAGCCCAGAGGCTTCAGATCCTTTCCATTATCTTTCAACTGTCTCTGGGTTTGGCAATGGCTTCCAAAGGTTAATGGGAGATGATGGAAGTAAAACCTAAACCAGCAACAGAGCAGAGAAGACATTTTTCTAGAGAAAATTAAAGGGAAAAATTCGTGACCATCTAAAAACCTGAGCTGGAGGCAGAAATCCGCCTCACTCTTTGATGGACTTATATCACCTCTATGGGAAATCAGAGGATCCCCACCACTTTTGTCCTTGTCCCTCTATTTCTGTGGGGCTACTGGGGCAACAAAAAAGCACTTCTCCGTGTCAGTACCAGACAATTTGAGACAGCTGGTTTCTAAGGATTGGGTCAGACTGTGGTCAGGAATACAAAAGCAGTTTATAGGAGGCTGATCTGTTGAGCTAAAAAGTATGTACACAGTAATTAGTTACTAATGTTCTCCCCTGAAGCCAGATGATTGAGGGTGCCTATCTTTATTGGATCTTTCTAGTCTTCCAGGTTGCTTAAATATATATTCACATACAATTTGAAAGATGTAGTGAAGTATGACCACTGGGTCATTGAGACCCTGACATTGAGACCACTGAGGATCTGACATTTCTCAGCTTCATAAAGTAGAGCCGTCTCCTGTGACTTATTTCTTTATTTTCATCTTATAAGAAAGGGCCACAGGACAATTAAACTAGTATCTGGGATTTATTTTAAAAGCAACTATCAGAGCATGCCATGGGGTCAGCAGGGAGCTGGTTCAGTTTCTAAACATACAGTCCTGGTCAGGATCCCCGATGTTTGCAATAATAACCCTGAAGTAAGCTTATTTTATAGCCTTTTAATTCTTGTACAGTCATATATGATGCATATGTTGAATCTGTGTTAACAAAATTATTTGGTTACCAGAACACCCACCCTTTTCTTTAACCTCTGGAAAATGCTACCCAAGGCTGTCCTCCAACAGTGTGATCAGATAGCAAGTCCCTAAGGGAGCAGACACCATAATTTCTACACAAGAGTCTTTGAAAGCCTGTAGCTCACTTAGCACAGCAAGAAAATCAACACAAGAATCTACAACCTAAACTAGAAAGTGGGAAGGCAAGACATCGAAGATTCCAAGCACCCACCAAGAAGTAGCAACATGAACAAAAATGTTGGAAGCCAAATAAAAGGGATGCCAGAGATTACCAGGGTGTCTGCCTGGAGATGATGAGGTCCTGCCCCCAGGCCTCCAAAAGCTTATTCTTTTCCTGCTAGGTACACCATCTGATTTTCTCTGTTGTTGACAAGAAGATGGTTGGCAAGAGGGGGCTCATAGAGGCCTTAGATCAGGAACCTGCATACATTTATATTGGCAACTTGCTATTAAAATGGAAGCCCTCAGTGGTTTCAAATGATTTGTCTTCTGTGATCCAAGCATTTTTTTTTAGCAGTGGCATTCAGTCCTCCTGACTCCTGGTGATTTGTCAAACATTCAAAACATAACTCAAGGGCTTCCCTGGTGGTGCAGTGGTTGGGAATTAGCCTGCCAAGGCAGGGGTCATGGGTTCGAGTCCTGGTCCGGAAAGATCTCACATGCTGCGGAGCAACTAAGCCCATGCATCACAAACACTGAGCCTGCGCCCTAGAGCCTGCGAGCCACAACTACTGAGCCCTCGTGCCACAACTACTGAAGCCCACATGCCTAGAGCCCGTGCTCCGCAACAAGAGAAGCCACCACAATGAGAAGCACACCCACCGCAACGAGGAGTAGCCCCCGCTCGCCGCAACTAGAGAAAAGCCCGCGTGCAGCAAAAAAGACCCAATGCAGCCAAAAATAAATAAATTAATTAATAAACCCCCCACAAAACCCAAAACCCACAACTCAAAAGATCCAGAGAAACTTCCTTTACACACACACCCACATTCATACCCACAACTGCCTCCCCAACACATGCCTGCACACAACCTAAGATATTTCTACTCACTTAAAGGAAACAAATTAGAAAAAATTTAAAAAAGAGCTTAGAATAGTTTGGTATTGCATAAATGCCTTGGCAAATTGATATATGCTAGTATGTACATGACTACCACCCAAGTCTTTTCTAAGTGTGGGAATTTACTAGAAGGATCCTGGGGCAGGGTGTCACTTGCTGCAGAAAGGATTTAGCAAAAGTGGTTTGAGGATACTGAAAACCAAATATCTCCGCTTATAACCGTACAACAAATGAGCCTGTGATACAGAGCCACAGAGTGTGGCTTGCTGTGTTCAGGACCTCTAGGCCCCTTCTCCTCAGGCCACATCTATACCTGCCTGGCACTGACACCCAGGGAGCTATCTTCTAGAGCCCCGACAAGAGAACCTATTGACAATGTGTTACGCGTTAGCCTCTTAGTCCAGTCACTCAGGGATTCTCGGCAGAGGAGTGAAGTTCGCCAAGTTTAGCTTCTGGCCCCAGGCTCTTTCACCTCCTGATATCTCCCAGAATCCTGCCCCGCTTCGGCGTTTTTTCTTCTTGCTCTGCCGAATGGCTCCCCGTTCCTGCTGTTCTCTCCCCTCCTTCGCTCTGTTAACACCTGCTATCAGGGGTAGATTTCGTGTCAGTCATTTACCCTGTGGGACACTGCAAATTAGCTTGTCTTAATATGGCTGTCTAGTTGCAGAATGAAAGGTTTTGTTTCCTACTGCAGGTTTTCTAGAGCTTTCTTCGGAAGTGAGGAAACCTTGGGGTGGGGTTGGGTGATAAGGGCTGCTTCCAAGGGTTCCTGAAATCAAATCCTGCAGAGTGAGCCTCTGCTGCTCACTCATAACTAGTCCACAATCAAGGGGTTTGGAAATATGATTTTTTCCTTTCTCTCCAGACACTGACTTTTAAATTTAGATTCGTCACCATTCATACAGCTTCCTTAGGCCAGCGATTTCGCCATGAGAGCAGAGAGAACTGGTGAAATGAACTTAACTGGAGACAAAAGACTTGGGATCAAAAAGGCTGTTGCCACTTTCTAGCTTCGCAAGATGTCTCGGCTCTTTCTGAGCTTCCGTGTCCTAATCTGTAAACGAGGCATAATCATTTATTTTGCAAAGTTACCGCGAGGATTAAATAAAATAACCGAGGGAGAATCACTTAGCTCCGGCATCGCTCACTTTTGCAGGCCTTTGAGTTTAGAATATTTTCCTAGCTGACCTGATTCACAATTCCTTCTTAGCCCCTGAAACAGTCCCTTGGAATAAATGTGATGGGGCCTATCTAGCTCAACAACGTAATTCTTTAGTTAGATTTTCATGCATTGTAACCCTTTTAAAAAGTAGAGGCACAGAAACCTCCCACGGGGAGATAATAAATGTGCCTTCTCTCAGCAGCGTCGTGAGACAGAATTTTGGTGACGATCCTCTGCTCTAAGGCAAAATATCTTTATTATGGTTGAGAAAAAGGTAGGCTTTCTGTTAGAACTGCAGAGAAGTGATGTGGGAATAGACATTCTCTTGCCTGAAGGGACATGCTGAGAAATGAACTTGTTGGCAGAAAACTCATCCTTGGCAACATCTGGTGGGATGAGGAGACAGAATCACCCCCTCGTGGCCTGTCTCCAGGGAGGGGCTCTCAGAAGGCAGGGTGTCCCCTAAGCTTAGCAAACACGGAGGGGAGGCAGGGTGGCATGAAAGGGTGGGACTGCCATTGGCTTGCCTACTGACATGTTATTTTTATTGTCCTCAGCCCAGCATCAGCGGGGTGGACCTTGATAAGTTCCGGGAGATTCTTTTGCGTCACTGCGATGTGAATAAGGATGGAAAAATTCAGAAGTCTGAGCTGGCTTTGTGTCTTGGGCTGAAAATCAACCCCTAATCCCCAGACCGCTTTGCCTTTGGCTCTTAGCGTGTTTCTGAGCTCCTGCTGGTAAAACTGTATCTGTGCTTTGCTACTGGGAACACAGTAGGCAAACTTTCTAACAAATGGTGTGGTGTTCTTGGGCAAGGGGAGGGACCTGAGGGCCTTCTTTTTAATGTCCTGGTGTTTTCCTGCCTTTACTGGAAGCCCCCCACGCAGGGTCTGTGTTATTTTCCCCTTGACCCTGGGCTTTCCTGTTCTGCTAAAGACTCAGCTGACCTCCAGGATCTGCTTGGCTTGTCCTCCCCCAGTCACTGGGGAGGTGGGGCAGCTGAGTCCATCTACCTGTGCTCTTCTTTTCGGCTTTCTGCTGAATGGTATGTGGCATTCGTGGCAGTCCCGTGACTTTTACAAATAGATTTTGAAGTGGAAATAAAGCTGCAGCTGGAAACAAAGATGCACTGCGAACTGCTTTTGTGCTGTGACCTTTGGAGGGTTCTACCTGATGGCTGGATGGATGAACTACTTCTCTAACTGGGGTGGGGGAAAGAGAAGAAGGAGAGAGAAGGACAAGATCCTGGATGGAGTCCACATCGCCAACCCTGTAGTTCTCAGGTGCCCAGATGAGTTGGAGTCAAAGTAGGAGTTGCCAATTGTCATTTTCATCTCACTGCGTGGAGGAGACCAGAACATTCATCCTGGGCTGGGTTTTGCTCTTAGGTGCTTTGCGAACTCACGTGGCCAAGCAGGCAGGAATACAGAAGAAATATGGAGAAAATCTTTCCCAGGTAACCCAAGCATCCGTCACCCCCTCCAACCATTCCCCTTCCAACAGTTTCCTCTGGCAAATCTGGGACCCCTGAAGCCTCCTCCTATGCCTGTGACTATTGTGGGCCCCTCTGCAGGTTGCTGGCTCCCCCATGGACCAGACCCCCTCCCTTCACTCCTGGAACTCTGACTCAGTCTCCCTGGGGCAGGGGCAGACAGATTGATTCCTCTGCTGTCCTGACACTTTATTTTCCAGAACACCTCTACCTTATACCAGACTGTGTAGGAATTTCAGGTTTAACGAAGTGTTGTAGGTAATTCAGAAAAATTACAGTGTAGCATAGTTCACTTAGAGCTGACCATAACCCAAGAAACTCTACCACTCACAGAGATCTCCCTCACTGGCACACACAGGTCCTAACCTGGTTCCCTTCCTCTTAGGTGCCCCTTACTTCCAACATAGAGATAATTAGTAACCATAATTACTATTTGATCAAGTGCTTTCTATGTGCCATGTACTTCTAGATGCTTTCCATACCGTAACTAATTTAGTCCTCACCAAACCCTATGAGGTAGGTACTCTCACGACACCCACCTTAGAGATGAAGAAACTGAGGCAAATAGAAGCTAAGCAGCATGTCTGTGCTCATACATATCAGAGGTTGGGAGTCAGGGAGTCAACAATGGCCGATTTTCAAATGATGCAACAGACAAGGGCTTAATCTCCAAAATATACAAACAGTTCATGCAACTCAACAACAAAAAAGCAAACAACCCAATTGAAAAATGGGTAGAAGACCTTGATAAACATTTCTCCAAAGAAGACATACAGATGGCCAGTAGGCACTAAAAAGATGCTCAACATCACTAATCTAATATTAGAGAGATGCAAATCGAAACTACAATGAGTCACCACTTCATACCTGTCAGAATGGCCATCATTAAAACGTCTACAAATGACAAATGCTGGAGAGGGTGTGGAGTAAAGGGAACCCTCCTACACTGTTGGTGGGAATGCAAGTTGGTGCAGCCACCATGGAGAACAGTACGGAGGTTCCTCAGAAAACTGAAAATAGAATTACCCTATGACCCAGCAATCCCACTCCTGGGAATATACCCAGAAAAAACTATAATTCAAAAAGATACATGCATCCCTATGCTCATAGCAGCACTATTCACAATAGCCAAAACATGGAAACAACCCAAATGTCCATCGACAGATGAATGGATAAAGAAGATGTGGGACATATATACAAATAATGGTCATCTTTCAGGAAACCTTGGCCCTTCCCCACAGGTTTGGTCTCACTGTGGGGTCCACAGCAGCCCCCAGCAGAACATTTATCTAAGTCTGGGTCATTCAGTGTGGATTAATGCTTCATGGGAGCTTGAAGAGAGCCGAGGAAGGAGTACAGGGCAAGCCAAGAAGGCAGACTTCTCCTCACTGTCCAAATGTTGAGCTGTGTACCCACACACCCTTCAAAGAGCAAACATTTGTTTCCAGGGTTGAGACAACCTAAGCTCACAAGAAGGAAAAAATAAAAACTGGACCCAAAGCTGACATATATTAATTCATGACTCTCCCTTTAGGTATATGAGGAGAACTTTTTTTTTTTTTGCGGTACGCGGGCCTCTCACTGTTGTGGCCTCTCCCGCTGCGGAGCACAGGCTCCGGACGCGCAGGCTCAGCGGCCATGGCTCACGGGCCCAGCCGCTCCGCGGCATGTGGGATCTTCCAGGACCGGGGCACGAAGCCGTGTCCCCTGCATCGGCAGGCGGACTCTCAACCACCGCGCCACCAGGGAAGCCCGAGGATAACTTTTGAGGTTACTGCTCCAGCCATGACTGTATAAATTCTTAGCCAAAGAGTCCTCAGTGTCTTTCTGGAGATAATGGAGGTGGAAGTGAGTGGGGAAGGGAAGTTTTAGTCTTTTAAGGGTAATTTGTTAAGATTCATTGAGGGCAGCTACTTGCCTTGAGCACCAGCAAGCTTTCGGTCATGGCATGTGGCTGAGATTCTATCAGAAGCTCTCAGGTTTCTTTCCCAGTCGTAACCTTAGGCTGGCAAAGACCTTTCCCAGCATCCAAAGAAAGGGCTGGTGGAGATCTTTAAGTGGAAGGAAGGTGGGTTTGTTCCACTTAAGGAATGAGTTCACTCAAAAACATTCTCAAGAAGTTTGAGCCTCATGTCCTATAATATAGGTGCTGGTATGTTCATCAATGGAGAGTTATCTCAGTCCATTCTGGCTACTATAACAAAAATACTATTGACTGGGTGGCTTAAACAACGAACATTTATTTTTCACAGTTCTAGAGGCTGGTAAGTACAAGTTCAAGGTCCTGGTAGATTCAGTGTCAGGTGAGAAACTGCTTCTTGGTTCCTGGACAGATGTCTATTCCTGTGTTCTCCAGTGGTAGAAGGAGCAAAGCAGCTCTGTGTAGTCTCTTTTATAAGGGCAGTAATCTCATTTATGATGAGGACTCTGCCCTGTGACCTAATCACCTCCCAAAGGCCAAATCTCCAAATGTCAACATGTTGGGGATTAAGCTTCACCATATAAATTTTGGAGGGACACAAACATACAGTCTATAGCAATGGCCAAGGAAAATAACTGGTCTTAGCCCTCTGCTGGAGCACCAAAGGGGAACAGAGTGCTGAATAAGGGACTGACAGAAGGCAGAAGTCTCTTATCACAGCCCATGCTGTAAATATTTGATGGGTTGGGGAAAGGTGTGATGGCACCCCAGAGAGCCGTGCTCCTTGCTGAAGATCTTGCTCATTCATTCCAAATCAGAAAGGAAGACGTAAAATTGTCTCTATTTGCTGATGATGTGATCTTATATAGAGAAAATCCTAAAGACGCCACCAAAAACCTGTTAGAACTAATAAATGAATTCAGTAAAGTTGCAGTATACAAAATCAACATGCAAAATGCTGTAGTATATAGCATTTTTATATTCTAACAACAAAATACATGAAAAAGGAACAAAGAAAACAATCCCATTTACAATAGCATCAAACACAATAAAATACTTAGGAATAAATTTAACCAAGGAAGTGAAAGATATGTACACTGAAAACTGTAAGACTTTGATGAAAGAAATTGAAGAAGGTGCAAATAAATGGAAAGATATCCTGTGTTTATCATTTGGAAGAATTAATATTGTTAAAATGTCAATACTACCCAGAGCCATCTAATATTCAAAGCAATCCATAACAAAATTCCAATAGCATTTTTCATATAGGTATAAAAAACAATCTTAAAATTTGTATGGAACCACAAAAGACCTCAAATAACCAAAGCAAGCCTAAGAAAGAAGACCAAAGCTGGAGACATCACACTTCCTGATTTCAAACTATATTACAAAGCTACAGTAATCAGAATGGTATGGTATGGCATAAAAAACAGACACATAGACCAATGGAACAGAATTGAGAGGCCAGAAATAAACCCTCGCATATATGGTCAACTAATATTTGACAAAGGAGCCGGGAATAATCAAGAGAAAGAATAGTGTCTTCAATAAATGGTGTTGGGGAAACTGGATAGCCACATGCACAAGAATGAAATTGGATCCTCATCTTATACCACTCAACAAAAATTAACGTGAAATGGATTAAAGATTTAAATGTAACACCTGAAACAATAAAACTCCTAGACAAAAACACAGAAAGAGCTCCTTGACATTGGTCTTGGCAATGATTTTTTTTGATATGACACCAAAAGCACAAGCAACAGGAGCAAAAGTCAGCAAGTGGAACTACATCGAATGAAAAATCTTCTGCACAGCAGAAAAAACAGTTAGAATGAAGAGGCAACCTACAGAATGGGAGAAAATATTTGCAAACCATCTGCCTAATAAGGGGTTAATATCCAAAATATACAAGAAACTCTTACAACTCAGTAGCAAAAAACAAACAACCTGGTTAAAAAATGGGAAGAGGATTTGAATAGACATTTTGCCAAAGAAGACATACAAATGAACAACAGGTATGTCAAAAGGTGCTCAACATTACTAATCATCAGAGAAATACAAATCAAAACCACAATGAGATATTACCTCACACCTATCAGAATGGCCATTATCAAAAAGACAAGAGATAAGTGTTTGCAAGGATGTGGAGAAAAGGGAACGCTTGTGCACTCTTGGTGGGAATGTAAATTGGTTCAGCTACTGTGGAAAACAGTATGGAGGGTCCTCAAAAAAATAAAAACAGAACTACCATAGGATCCACCAATTCTACTTCTGCGTATACAGCCAAAGGAAATAAAATCAGGATCTTGAAGCGGTACCTTTACTTTCATGTTTCTTTGCATCATTCACAATAGCCAAGATGCAAAGACCATCTAAGTGCCCATCAATGGATAATAAATAAAAAAGATTATATACATATAATCTTCTTCTACATGTATATACATATATATATTATTCTATTTTGCTTTAATATATGTCTACATGATATTAAAGCAGAAAAGAATGTGATTATATTTGCTGCATAATGTAGCCTAAAATAAAAGGTTGAGTGATAGAATCCAATCATTCATTTCTGTAAAATGTCAGTAAAACTGGTGCGGGTACCAGCTTTACTTTATCTTCACACCGCAGTATCTGATCAGTTCAGCCAAAAATCCTATAAAATCCAGCAGTTTGAATGAATTTAATAGTTGCACAAATAACAGACTTT